CCCCCCCCCCCCCCCCCCCCCCCCAAAAAAAAAAAAAGGGGGAAAAACCATAAAACAAAAAAATTGGTTCATTTTGTGATTAAATTGGCCCTTTAATTGGAGTAAATATTCGGTTACACCGCATACTCAGTAATTTTTTATTTATTTTTTGGGGAGGGGGAAGGGGAAGGGGAAGGTGGAGAGGGAGGTGAATTTGAACCATTGACATAAAAAAAGTAAAATTTTTATAAGACAAGGAGTATGATTAGACCAAAGGTCTATTGATTATAAACAATATCACATGATGTAATTGTTTAATAAAAAAAATCAAAAATCAAATAAAGTGGAGTCCTAGAATTAAAAAAAAAATCAAAATTGTTTAGGGTATTCTTTAAAAAATTAAAAAAATTTGTTTAAAATTACTTTCTAACCTTTTATGTTAAAATAAAAAAATAATTATATGTATATATTGATTATACATAATAGTTACCAAACTATGAATTTTACATTTTTGTTAAATCACTAATTATATTTTATGAATATAATAAACTAAGAAGTTATATAAGACACGCGACAAAATTCTAAAAAATCAAAAAAAAGTTCATACAATCAGTTTTTTGAATCAATTTAAATAAATTTTGTTGAGTCTAAAAAATTATTGCATAAATTGATAAAAAAATTAAAATTCAAACGAACCTGATTTATTTTACTCACAAACTCTTAAAAATTATCCATTTAAGTTAACTCCAAAGAAACTCATATTATTTACATGGTTGATTATTTAATATTGTAAAACTCGCTTATTCATTTATTAATACACGTGACACTGTTAACCGTTGCGCACAATACTTTCTCCTGGGATCATCGAGGTATGGTCTTTTTCAGTGTTCTTTACTGAAAAGTGGCACTCTCTCTCTCTCTTTCCCTCCCTCCCTCCCTCCCTCCCTCATGTAAGAACTGTTAACTTCCCACTTCCCATGTCTTTGAGTTAGAGAGGAGTATACTTGCAAGCTTTCTCCAGATATTCTCAGTAGTTTTGCGATTGTACGGCCTAGTTCGCGACATTTTGTTTGTCTGGTTGTCAAATGGAGAATGACATTTCCGAAGAGATTCGAAAGGCCCGTAGGTTGGCTATAAGCCTTGCCAAAGAGGTTGATTTCAAGAACCAAAAGCTCTGGGAATTGGAGCGCAAATGTGATGAGACTTCTGCAACTCTAGAGAGGATGGTTGCAGAGAAAAATAAGCTGCATCAATCTTATGAAAAAGGTTTTGGCCTCATCTTCTATACGCAATACAATAAAATCTTGTTCATTTGGTACCCAATTTTTTTATGGGTTTCAACAATTTATGAGCGATTGTGTTTGTTTATATGCATGCAATATTTCTGGGTTTGTATTGTCTGTTCATTACGATTTGTGGGGCGTGAACAATTTTCATTCAGGTTGCACCTATGAATTTGGGTCTACCCACATTCAAATTTCAACAGATTGAACGATTGATTATAGTATGCTTTTGTAGAAATGAAAAAGGCGCAGTTCATTGAACTACAAAATCGGAAGTTGAAGCACGATTTTGAGTGTGAAACAAGAAAGATGCAATTGATCGAGCTAGAAAATGAAAGGTTGAAGCAGGATTTGGTACCTCAAAGGAAAGAACTTGAGCAGCGGATTAAAAAATTGGAGAAAGAAGAGGCGCAAAATGACCTTGAACGCAGAAACTTACTTGTTGAGAAGCAAAAAGTAAGTAGTCTTCATCGTTATAGAAATATAGCAACATTTATCATTAGAGATAAAATCTCTTATGTAATTTTTGATCCATTCTTTAATCATTTCAAGGATCTAAAATCTAGACGTCCTACTTGCGAATCTTGATAACTCTTTGGGTTTAACCGGATTAATCATGAATACCCTAGTTACGACATGAATAACCAGTAGATCAAGTGGTAACCGGTACATTACAAACCCATAGGGTTATCAAGATTCGAATTTTGGCAATCCCTTGTCCAGGTAACGAGGGATTTATTCTCTTGAATACGTTTGATTGGACAGGAGAGGGGATTAATCGAAATGCGCGTNAAGTGGTAACCGGTACATTACAAACCCATAGGGTTATCAAGATTCGAATTTTGGCATTCCCTTGTCCAGGTAACGAGGGATTTATTCTCTTGAATACGTTTGATTGGACAGGAGAGGGGATTAATCGAAATGCGCCTAAGTTGGTCCTGATAACCTTGACCATGGAACCAAAAAAAAAAAAGTTTCTGAAATCAATTGAATTGGTTGAATTTATGTTTGCATTGTTATTGTGAAGAGATCCACAAAAGAATGAGGATGGGTGGTATAAATATTGTGTGAGCCTTGAGTTGTTGGCTCCATATAACTCTTTCTCAATTGTGTGTAGAACTTCATTCTATGTCCAATACTTTCCTTGTTATTTTGATTTTATTCTAGATTTTAGTTGTTTTGCTTCAATGTGACATTAGGATTTTTGGCCAAAGAGGCACTCTGTGGTTCTTCCATACAGCACTCATCAAGGCAAACTTAAGGCTTGTTTACCCAACTCCAGTCTATAGACTGTGCCTGATAAAATTTGTGGGAGACAAAATAGAAGGGCTTTAACTTTTAATTCTTATTTATATTTTGACTTCGCAAAAAGCCAGCGTTGCATCCAGGTCTCTAATGATGGGTGGCAAGAGGCAGTGTAGGTAGACCATTTAAGGTTATTACATTACTGAAGTTTTCAGATAGTCTTGATAAGTAAGAAATCGAAACCCTTTGGGCCTCAAGTTGGGTATAGGCCATATGCTCGGTGGAGACCGGAAAGATGCACGATAACCTCGCATAAACTTCTGAAATTCACATATACCCTGGCATAAGTGATATATGGCTGATGCAAATGCTGGCATCTCAAAATATCAATTTTTGTTTTAAGAAAATTGTTTGTTTGTTGCAGTCATTCATATCAACAGTTCATTTATATTTGTTATCACTTTCAGTCACTGCTTTATTTTGAAATTTTCTGTTGTTTCATTAAATATTCTTTAGGCAGATATTTCATTATTGTGTTTTACTGAACTTCCTATTAACCTGATATTTTAATCTGTAATTTCAACTGAGCAGCTGAAGGCTTTAACCCCTCTTCAGAGTGACTGCGGTGTGACCATCCAGATAGATGATTTGAAAAAAAAGTTGGTGGACAAAGATGACGAATTGAACGATATGGAAGCCCTGAACCAAGCTCTTATACTTAGAGAGCACATGAGTAACCATGAGCTACAGGATGCTCGCAAAGAATTGATTAGTGTGAGGGTCACAGGCATCATCTTTTTGGCATATGACATTGTGCTTTTGCTAAAGTACATCTTCTCTACAAAAATTTTCGATGTGATAGGCATTTTGGACATAAAAGCTTGTTATTTTGCCCATATAGGTTTTGCCAAATCTTCTGGATGCAACCACAATCAGAGTTAAAAGGATGGGAGAGGTTCATCAGAAACCTTTTCAAGATGTATGCTTGCAGAAATTCTCTCTGGAAGAGTGGGAGGTGAGATCAGTGGAACTAAGCTCGTTGTGGCAGGAAAAGGTTAACAATCCAAGCTGGCAGCCTTTCATGAAAGCATTCAAAAATGGAAAGTGGCAGGTATGGCGTTTTTCCGTTTTGCTCCCCAATATCAACTAGTTGGTGACCACACCTTAATTTAATACGTATATAAGACAGGTATTATTGTGTAGATATATATGTAAGCATCAGAATATACATTGACCTTCAATCAATAATATTATCTGTATTTATGGCCTTTTTAAATACTGCAGTGCGACAATGTTACAATGTGGATATTCGTAGGGTTCACAGGGAAGTGCTTTATTAGATTGAGCTTTCGTCAGTTTGGAAGTGAAAATGTAGATATGTGTTTCTTTATCAGGAAAATTTGAAAACAAATTTAAATTGAACAAGCATTAATAGCAACCACTATGCTAATTTAAATGCCTAGGTGGGCATAGTTTGATGAAAATCTAGTCCAATAAAGTGGTTTTGTATCCCTAATTTTTTAAGAATCTGTTATCATTTTCATTTGCAATCTATGCTGATTACGTCAACTTGTGAATCGATTCCTTGGGAATGCAGGAAGTGATCAATGAAGATGACAGTAAGTTGAAAGAATTGAGAAGTCAATGGGGTGAGGCTGTTTACAGTGCAGTTGTTGATTCACTGTTGGAAATAAATGAATATAATCCAAGTGGGAGGTATGCTGTTTCAGAACTTTGGAACTTCAAGCAGGGAAGGAAAGCTAGTTTAAAAGAGGCAATACAGTGTATAATCCAGCAATTAAAGAATGTCAAGCCTCTTAAACGTCGAAGGTGATTATTGACCCCTGCACTCGGTCCTTGTTTTGTAAGTACTTTAGAATTGTCAAAGCAGAACCTACATTTTACGCTTGCGACTTGATCTACTTAGGTAGTTGTATTTTGCAAAGCTGTTTTTTTTTCTCTCTCCTTTTTGGATAAGCAGTTCTTTCTTGTGGAATTAATACCTATATATACATATTAATCTGGTTTAATCCCTACGATTCATAGCAATTTGAATGAACAATAGACTGCATGTATTAACTATTGAAGGGACATATCAACAGAATCTCTGCAATAACCCGTGTTCTTTGGGAAAATCAAACACAAACAGGCACACATTATAGAGACAAAATGCCACAGCTACACAATATGAAAATCGGTTCGGAACACTGACATATGCACATAATGTACTCAAATAGGGGCTTCACATTCTATAAGGATTAGTAGATGACTTCTTTAAACTTTTATGAAAAGCATAGGCATTTCTTTTCAGACCGTGAGAAATAAGTACCTATCTTTCATGGACTCCATGTTGCTTTTTGGTTTTTTTTGTTAAAGAGCTTATTCTTACAACTGTACCAAGCACTGGACCTTTCCAGCATCTTGCTTTAGTGGAAACAACCCTTGGTCATGGGCCTCATGGCTATCTTAAGAACTCGTTGGTATGACAAGCCTTTTTGCCCCTATTATTTTGCCCATACTAAACTTATTAGGAGCCCTTTAGAGAGTGATGTGAGATATCATTGTAGCTCCCAAATATATCAGCATGTGGTTCGTAAATATTGTTTTTGCCTCCTGCTAAGTATAGTCATATTAAAATCATATTGATTTTGACACGTAGTTTGTTCTGCCCTAAAAGTTTCTGAGTNCATGTGGTTCGTAAATATTGTTTTTGCCTCCTGCTAAGTATAGTCATATTAAAATCGTATTGATTTTGACACGTAGTTTGTTCTGCCCTAAAAGTTTCTGATTGACCCAATTATGTGCTGGACGAATACTCTAATGCATTGAAATTAAAGTTATCTGACTGTATTTAGTGAACGTGTAAGTTACTGGACCTTGCTTACTTTAGAATGCGGAAGTTTAGAGGATCTCATTAATAATTTCCATTGAAACAGAGTTCTGCTAATTATTTTCTGAGCAGCAAATGAAACAGTAATAGTACTTACTTTCTATAAATGGAAAGAGGAAGTACAAGACTGCCAAGTTATTGTAGATCAAACATCAGCATATTATCTTGCCACTTTTGATTGCATTGTTGCATAAATCTGGACCTTTGATCTACGAATAAGTTTAGATTGGATTGGCCATCGTAAGTTTCCTGTTTCATGTTATTTTTCCTATGTCTTCTGTATCAAGCATCGTATTATTGGTAATTGGCCTTAAGGACTATTCATTCCCTTCTATTTCAGTCATTCCATTTCTGAAAACTTTGACACTGCAGTACTGAAACTAAATACACTTGCAAAAATCAGGATTACTAGTTACAATTTTTTTCCTCTTCTTGGTAGGTGAACTGTTCCCTTCAGCCACCAGCTCCAGGGGAAAATCCACCAGATGACAGTTATTGAGGCTGTAAGATGAAGTTTTGCTTCTTACCTCTTAGTGAGATATATAATTGCCAATGTGTATATTGAATTACTCAGTCATTGTGGTAAGTTTTGTTGTTATTGGCGCGGAAGAGCTGTCAGACACTGCAATCCTTTTTCATGGTGGTGTAGAAGTCTATTAGTTGAATTGCAAGAGCTGTTCATGGATGCCAACAAAGTCCTCAGCCCACCGGAACGAATTTTTTTTTTTTTTCGGAAGGTGGAACTTACTTTTATTATTGTGTGGCTGATTAAGCAAATATTACAGGAAAGCCAAAGTGGGGTTGATCAAGTAGTCAGAAAATAACTTGGCTCAAATCCAGATTTGATTGTTCTCAATTAAAATGATAAGTTCTTTTTTCGTTGATCTGGAATTAGGATGACAAGTTGAAATGAACCCGAAAATGGAACCAATTTTAAAAAGTGTTTCCAGAGAGTTTTCCCAGAAAGCTGAGTGTTAAGTTAGAATATTAACAGATTGACTAATTGGACTAATTGATAAAACTGTAGGAGGTTGTTGGCACTCAAGAACAGTTCCAGGTACTCCATTCCTCCATTCTGTTTATTATGATGAACCACGTTTGTGCTATTAGAGTGATTGAAGGTGTTCTTGGAGAGTCGGTATGTGTATTGATGAAATTCTCTTCTTAAAATTTTGCTGTAGATTTACTTGATGCACTGGATTGCCAAAAAAAGTTGATGATGCCTAAAGTAAATCTCAAGTGTTAACTCAGGAGGTCAGCTTAGACCGGGAGATCAACCATATTAACTGAGGTCAGAAGGCAAGGGCTGAATGTTTCTTGAGGCAAGGCAACGGCTAGATAACCACGAGAGGTTCTTAAAGCGTTAGGAAGCTATAATTAAGGTTCCTAATCTCAACCAACCAAGATTTTCTCCTATTATCAAGGAGAATCTCACGAAATAAGGACAAAAATTTCGGTCAAGATTCCACTGAATAGGGAACAGCCCTATAAATACTATGTAACGCCCCCAAGAAAGAGGGGGACCCTAAAGGCAAAAATTAACCATTGTACTCTTGCAATCATCATTATTGAAAGACAAGGAGCAAGAGTTTCCGTTAAAGAGTGGATTAACCAAGCTCCCAAGCTAATGAACCACTATATTTTTTCTATGTTAATCCTCCTGACCCTTAGAAAAATATTTTTTTCATTATCACAACATCATCACTGAAAAACATAATCACGATTCATTACTTATACAATTCGAGTTACGCCATTAAAAGTAAAAAGAAAATTTAGGGCCTTTTTCCTCGCGGAACGAAAATCTTATTATACTCTCCTTTTGCAGGGAAANGCCATTAAAAGTAAAAAGAAAATTTAGGGCCTTTTTCCTCGCGGAACGAAAATCTTATTATACTCTCCTTTTGCAGGGAAAATAAATGAAGAATTGTGCAATATTCATGGAGTAATTTCACTTTAGTTGTAGCTTGCCTCAAAATTTGCAACAAAAAATTGTTGCAAACTTTGTATTTGGAAAGAGTGAGATGATCTATTAAGTTGATAACGATTCTATTTTTTCATTATCAGTCCCCCCTTGGCTCTTTTTTTTTGGGGTGGGGGGTTGTTGTCATGCCGCGATGAAATTGGATCTTGGTGACATATGTGTATGATATGATGAACTGTTAAGAGAATCTTTCTGTTGGTATGTTTATATCAATCTTGAATGCCTTATAAAAAGTTATATCTTCTAGGTCTTGTTTTGTCTTAATAGAATCACTAGCCAACAACCTTTGTTTTGCCCCTTTTCTGTAAGGCTTATGACCCTTACGATTTTCATCGGTACACATACTTTATGGGGCTATGCATTTTATAGGGTATGAGCGTTGTGTGACTCTAGTCGTGTCGTTCGCCTAATTAGTGGGGGAGACATGGATGTATGCGATTGGTGAAAGGAAAGATCTCTTGAAGGGATAGTTGAACCTATTAAAAATATGACAATTATTAATGAGTTGGAAAGAAAATTAGGCTAGATTTTCTTCCCTAAGCTTAGAAAGGAGCTGNGCACTCAAGAACAGTTCCAGGTACTCCATTCCTCCATTCTGTTTATTATGATGAACAACGTTTGTGCTATTAGAGTGATTGAAGTTGTTCTTGGAGAGTCGGTATGTGTATTGATGAAATTCTCTTCTTAAAATTTTGCTGTAGATTTACTTGATGCACTGTATTGCCAAAAAAAGTTGATGATGCCTAAAGTAAATCTCAAGTGTTAACTCAGGAGGTCAGTTTAGACCGGGAGATCAGCCATATTAATTGAGGTCAGAAGGCAAGGGTTNCCTAAAGTAAATCTCAAGTGTTAACTCAGGAGGTCAGTTTAGACCGGGAGATCAGCCATATTAATTGAGGTCAGAAGGCAAGGGTTGAATGTTTCTTGAGGCAAGGCAACGGCTAGATAACCACGAGAGGTTCTTAAAGCGTTAGGAAGCTATAATTAAGGTTCATAATCTCAACCAACCAAGATTTTTTCCTATTATCAAGGAGAATCTCACGAAATAAGGACAAAAATTTCGGTCAAGATTCCACTGAATAGGGAACAACCCTATAAATACTATGTAACGCCCCCAAGAAAGAGGGGGACCCTAAAGGCAAAAATTAACCATTGTACTCTTGCAATCATCATTATTGAAAGACAAGGAGCAAGAGTTTCCGTTAAAGAGTGGATTAACCAAGCTCTCAAGCTAATGAACCACTATACTTTTTTTATGTTAATCCTCCTGGCTCTTAGAAAAATATTTTTTTCATTATCACAACATCATCACTGAAAAAACATAATCACGATTCATTACTTATACAATTGGAGTTATGCCATTAAAAGTAAAAAGAAAATTTAGGGCCTTTTTCCTCGCGGAACGAAAATCTTATTATACTCTCCTTTTGCAGGGAAAATAAATGAAGAATTGTGCAATATTCATGGAGTAATTTCACTTTAGTTGTAGCTTGCCTCAAAATTTGCAACAAAAAATTGTTGCAAACTTTGTTTTTGGAAAGAGTGAGATGATCTATTAAGTTGATAACGATTCTATTTTTTCATTATCAGTCCCCCCTTGGCTCTTTTTTTTTGGGGTGGGGGGTTGTTGTCATGCCGCGATGAAATTGGATCTTGGTGACATATGTGTATGATATGATGAACTGTTAAGAGAATCTTTCTGTTGGTATGTTTATATCAATCTTGAATGCCTTATAAAAAGTTATATCTTCTAGGTCTTGTTTTGTCTTAATAGAATCACTAGCCAACAACCTTTGTTTTGCCCCTTTTCTGTAAGGCTTATGACCCTTATGATTTTCATCGGTACATATACTTTATGGGGCTATGCATTTTATAGGGTATGAGCGTTGTGTGACTCTAGTCGTGTCGTTCGCCTAATTAGTGGGGGAGACATGGATGTATGCGATTGGTGAAAGGAAAGATCTCTTGAAGGGATAGTTGAACCTATTAAAAATATGACAATTATTAATGAGTTGGAAAGAAAATTAGGCTAGATTTTCTTCCCTAAGCTTAGAAAGGAGCTGTTCGCCTGATTTTACTATTCTCCTCTCTTGTGGAAATGAAAGTCTTTTTCTCGAATCGACTTTCCATCCCATTGTTTGAGTAAAAATACAGGGTATATGAATTTAATATAGATATAAATTAATCTTAGAACTTAAGACAGGTTACTCGAAGAAAGAAGACACAAAACTCATAAAGACAAACATAAAGGAAGAAAGAAGACACAAAACTCATAAAGACAAACATAAAGGAAGGAAATAGAAAAAATAGTAGGAAAGGGGAAGGGACTTGACTCCCTTTCACTCCGCTCTTCAAGCTTTCTGCATCATCAATAGCGCGCTAGCACAAGTTTTTCTTCCTTCTGCCCAGCTCTTTGAAAACAATGTTGAACTTGCATGTGTTAAACATATGGTTAGTGTTCCTTCTAAGTCAGGATCAAATTCTTCTTTTGAGTATGAAAAAAGAAGAGAAAAAGGGAATGCATTGAGACGGCGAATATGACAACTATATTTTGGCATTTTTCTGCATGAGATTAGATTAGTGTACTGTACCAACAGATAATAGAACTAAGCTGGTCTAAAAAATGCTTGAAAGAAGATCTCCGCTAATTTCAAACCCACCAACAAACAAAAAGGGGGCTAGGGAAGGTCGATGACTATATGAGGAGTAGCTTTGCCCTTTACTTTACAGAGATTGTTATGAGCAGATTAAATGTTTAGATTTCAATTACTTGTTTATAATATGATTTTTAATTTGATAATCCAATAATATCAAGCATTGATGTTAAATTTAATTTGACAGAGAAGTTCAATTGCGTTAATGAAAACTATGTTTTTTCCATGTCATACCAATCCAAAGAAATAATAATCTCTTCCCTACTCATATAACTTGAATTGGGTTTTATATCTGCAAAATTGTATTTTCCTCCCAGACCCCTATTATTATTATTAAATACTAAATTGGGTGCTATTTTTTATCTTTGAAATTTTATCTATCATTTCCTTTTCTAAAATAGCTTGTTAGGCTTTTTAAATCATTAAAAATCTACTTATTCTCTCTATTTTTGTACTAGCCAAGAGGCCACACACACAACTTATTAGACTAAAGAGAAGGATGGCCCATGATCAGTAGCCCATAAGCCCAACGGACTCACAACTAATCCAATTGGCCTGCCACCTACCAATGCTTTTTTGGAGGGTAATTAACTCTCTCTCTCTCTCTCTCTGTATACGCATTATATATGTGTATAATATATCAGAACCTTCATGAAAAGGAAGGAATATATGTTCAGCATGCACTGCAGAAACACAATGCTTCCCTTCATGGAGGGAATCGAAAGTTAGAAGCTTGATCTCAAGACCACTTGAACAGTTCACCTACAGTAAGACAGACACCCACTAGAAGGTTTTTCACCTTTGGCTGCTAAAACTTCAATCAACCTGAACTTACCAACATGATTATAAACTCAGTTATTTGAAGTCTTGGGCTTTATAGATTCTTGAAGTTTCATGTTTTTTTTTTTTTTTTTGTTAGAAAAAAATTATTATGGCATCAAAGCTTTGATCACCAAAATTTTCCAAACTTTTGAGAAGAAGGGAAATGCTTGCTTCTTTAGGTTTTTGAACTATCATACCAGCTTCAAACTACAAAACTGTTCTTCACATATAAGAGATCATTTGAGAACAGATTGTGATTACTGGACATTGTAACTCAGGTTTTCCATTGTTTTCTCCAAATCTGAATGTTTAAATGTGAAATTTTTCAAGGAAAAATAGTTCTTGAGGTAGTTTACAGCAATGTTTGAGCAAAATTAGTCATGTGCACCGAATTAGCTGTCTGTAAAAAAATATATTTACATCAGAAATACATATTTACTGGGTGTCTGAATAGTTTCAATGGACCATTTTTCCAGAAATTATGAGAAAACTTTTCTGGGGAAAGACTAATTCAATATAAGAGTTTTTTTTTTTTTTTCTCAAAAAGCAAAATAGCAGATTTTTTTTTTCCCATTATATCAAATATTAGCCTGTTTAGGGGACACTAAGATGGATGAAAAAAGTTTGGAAGCTTTCTAGAAGGCGGCTATTGGGAAAAATGCCCTAGAATGATTTTGCCTGGACATTATGAAAAGAGCCAACTAATGTAGT